CATCAAGATTATAGTTTAAACTTTTTATAAACTTGACTGTACTAAATGTAAAATATCACTCATGTTTTGTGTGTGTGTGTTTGTGTGGCCCCATGTTTTTGCTACTTGGTGGGGATGATTTTTTAGAAAAATGTAGCTTTGTGGGGACCCCACAATTTTGGAGGCTGATTTTGGATATGGGTGTTAGGTTTAGGACCAAGGTGTGAATTGAGTTTAGGTTAGTTTTAGGGTCAGGTAGGTACCTGTGAGGTTAGCCTTAGGGTTTGTAGTCAGGGTTAGGCTATTAAAATTTCCAAAACATCAATGGAAATCAATGCAAGTTCCCCATGGGGATATACACACCAGACTTGTGTGTGTGTGTGTGTGTGTGTGCGTGCATGAGAACAGGTTTTATTAAAACTCTCAGAAAGTAATCATTACAATATTTTTTCCACATTAAGACTGGAATGAGGGGAACCAAACTGTCCAAGTGGAATGGTTACAGCGGGGTGCATCAGTGGTTCTTGGGGGAGCTGGAACCTGATGTGTCTCGCACCACTTTCCACTGAAGACGTGGAAGATTTTTATCTGTTTGGATTTTTGATAACTGGATTTCTGCTGATCGACGGGAGTGGACCTTTGGTCTATCGAAATGTGAAAGCGACTCTAACAGCGGTCCAGGCCGTTGAAAAGCTGTTGGGCGCACTGGAAGGTTTCTGCCGGGCTGGGAGCACACTGACTCAGATGATGGGGAAATAAATCGCAAACTGGATGTGATTCTGACGAAGATTGCAGCCCAAGAGTAAGCCTCTGGCATTTAGAATCACATCTGGGTGAAGCTCCAGATGGTGAGAGTCGAGGAGGACCCTGAAATTGGCTGATTGGAATTTTTCGCCACTTTCAGAAATGAAGTTAAAACATTAAAAGCGGCAGGAAATTCAAGGCTGCTTTGTCCCAAAACAATTGTTTTTATCTATTGGCTCCCAGTGGCATGGCCTTGTTTGCTATGCTTATCTGAAACTCCCCAAGGATGATATGTCAACAAGGGCTCGATTCCCTCCCACCCCCATCACTCGTGTTGGACCGGGCCTGTGAACCCAAAGCCAAGGAGGAGGAAACTCCGAAATCTGTGAGCCGAGCAAGTGAGGATACATCATGGACTCTGGCAGGAGCTAGGGTCGGGTCCTAGCATGGACACCCGCCATCATTGTCACTGACTCCACCCCCCGACCCCATCTACCCTCCCTTTTATGTGTTATCTGACCTAAGCTCCCTCCCTGTCCAATCTATCTTGCTCTATCAAGAGTCATTTCTTGTGTATATGATCTTATGTTTTTGATGTTAACAGGATATGAGCAATTTTTAACTCAACTTTCCTATTATGTATTTCCAGCTGTTAAAGGTAGCACGACCATGTTGCTGCATGACCTGTTCACCTGTTCCCCCATGTTTGTCATGTGTCTTCTTGAATGGGTGTTCTTATCTCTTTAATTTCCCCTTGGGATCAATCAAATATGATAAATCAAATATCATCAATCAATCAATTAGATAAACATCATTAACATCCGTTAATAATTTTCAGCTCAACCCACAGCTAATCAACCTTATTCTGCACAAATCTCTGTAACTCAGTGAATCTGACAAATATTTTGCTAACATTTGGTGTGGTAGTAGCTGAGATTGAGCTCTAAAAGATCAGCTGAGATCTCATATTATCACCGGAGATCCTTCCAAAGCTGATTTCCAAATTTTGACCAAAATGCTCCAACGTTCTTTTTTTAGTCACTACAGTAGAAAAAAGAACTTAATATTAGTTTATTAATTTCTTCATC